CTCGCTGAAACACAGCCATGGCAACCCACACCCAGCAAAGTAAAGGAGGAACGTGGTCACAGGTTCAGTGGAATGTGACATTTATGAGAGCAAAACACAAAGGGAGGAATTTTCCCTCCAAAACAGGAGCAAGAAAACTGAAGGAGAAATGTCAGGAATTTAAAGTATTTCTAACTCTTGATCAGATTTTTTTTCCCCATACAAGGACGGTTAAGAATGCACCTGAAAGTCCACTCCAAGTCTGCTTTAAAAGAAATGCATTTTAAACTAGTGTCATCATTGTTACACTGCAAACTATCAGAGCGGGCTGTTTGTATTTGAGTTTTACTATTAAAGTAAGAGTCTTTATTTAGCATCGTTCCTCTTTGGGACAAGTTTGAGGTACGTGGAGCATCCTGTGAGAATGGAGAGCTGTCTGCCCGTGCTGACAGAGGTGCATTTTCACTGTTTGCTCTCTGGTCTTAACATTTGGGCTGACACTCTCTATCTTCTATACTCCTGCAGAGGTCAGTGTGGTTTTTCTTATGCACAAAAGGTAAAAAGCCCACGGGGTACTAGGATCACAATTACAGTTCCAGGAAACACAGTTTTTTTATCACATAACAGGAAGTGACAGGCTATATGACAGCTATGTAACTTCAAAAGGTGTAAACACAAAGTGCACTGGGAATTTTTAACCAAAGAAGTCAGGTTTCGCGTCATACCTCCCAGGCATCGCTCCAGTAAACCCCTCCACCCAGGTTTGCTACTTCCTCTAAAACAGCCTTCTTCATCCCCACCTAAGCACAGGCTGGATGCCTCTCTCAGCCTCACACTTCCTGGTAACTCCCACACCAGGATAACACCACCCTGAGGCAAATATACACACACGAGCCACCTTCTAAGTTGTGGTTTCCCTTTAGGAAATCAGCAATCTGCTGCCATTACCCACCAGCATTTACACCTCCTCTCTGTACCCTTTAATTTTTCTTTACCCCCAATGTTTAAAACAAACAACTTCTCTCCCTTATGAGAGATCATTACAGGAAGAAAGCACCACACAGACTGTTAAAAGACGCCAAAAACAGCTAATAAATCTAAGACGGTGATCTGGTGTCAGAGCATCAGGGTGTTATCAGTGTTATTAACAAAAGCTATGTACACATTCTGATGTGACTGCTCTTGAAGGATGTTTCGTGATTTCTAAACTTCAGAATATTCTGCGAATTTGAAACTGTGAGCAAGACGAGAGGACACGATATTGGACCATTTAGCTGCTGTATCAGTTCAGTTTGCGCTCTCCTCCTACCTTCAGCTGAACCGTGTGAGAATCACAAAATTTTAAACACGAGACGGCACATATGGAGACACAATTGCCAAAAGCCCTGAGAAGAAAAACACTTTATAAAGCGCTCCAGCGTTTCAAAAGCTCTCTCCTTCTCCCTTTCACACACACACACACACACACACATAAACACATAGACACAAACACATACACCTCGAAACAAAGGTGCCATTTTACTCAGGAAGGGTCAGCAGTTCTCTCCATCAGACAGGGGCTTGTTCTTGGTCAGAGGCTGCTGCCCAATCTCAGGCCACCCTCCCCTGGCTCCACTGCCCCCCCCTCCGGCCCCCACCACCCCGGAGACAAGCTCCCCATTGTTCCCGCACTACTAATAAATGACAGTTCTCCTGTTCAGACAAACTTTAGGGCCCATTCAAACACACACACACACACACACACACACAAAAGTTTAAATGGTGCTCTATATAAAAAGATACCAGGAGCATTTTCTTTTAAGGCTGGTATTTCTCGAGCTCATTAAGTCGTTATCTGACACTAATGATGTAAGGACGTCTTCCTGCGTCTTAAGCTTTGAACTTGAGGACAGGATGAGATAATCCTGAGGGCCGTTTGTGTAATAATGAATAACAAATGTTCCTATTGCCTTCCATTTCTCTTCGGTGGTCAAAAGCAGTCATGACATTGAGTCATAGTTCACCAGGAGGTCATGCTGCTCAGTGCGTGTTGTCACCCTGTGAGCTCAATCGGGGGCCAGGGAGCTGAGGTAAGCCTTGAGTTTAGACATGATAAATCACCACTCAGCTTAAGCTCATAAACACACCATTAACACGCTCGACCACATGAACTCTATCCGTTTACCTTAACAGCATGGTGCTCGGGACTATCTGCCTGTGATAGCACTCTTAGGGGTCTGATGCACATGGCTGTCACAGCTACATGAGGATCTGTGAGGAGCATAGGGAGCTACACGTGATCCTTTCCCATCACTAGTAATTAGATATGTAATCTGCTTCAGACCACAGTGTAGAAACAGTGTCTGCGCTGTCT